GGGGGCTGTCCAGCCTATATAAGCTTCTCCAGAATGGTTCACGCAGACGCGCGAGTCTTTCCCCACCTACATCCTCCTCATGCCTGGTCCCTAGCTCGGCCTTTTGAAATGATCTTGCATTGGGAGACTAGGCTTAGAAGTCCGCCCAGGGCTGAACCGGGGTGAGGAGAGAAGGCTAGCAGACCTACTCCCTCCCCGCATGCAAGCGCCCACTTCACCGAGTCTGGCTCTGGCCTGCAGGCCAGGGAGGCGCGGAAGCTGAGCATGCTAGGTCCGGAGCTGCGAACACAAGCTCGCAGTGGGCGCTGGCGGAGAGTCCAGAGCCCGGTGTCTGGGTGACACGCTGGTTTATGGGTGGCTCCCCGCTCATCAAGCTTTGCAGGACAATCCCCAGTGCCTGAGCCAAGAGTTCACCCGAAGGGCTCAACGGAAGGTTCAGAAGACTCTTCTTCTGGAGTGAGAGTGCAAGTCAGCATGGTGTCTGGAGAAGGTGTCCCCAAAGCTTAAAGCCTATTACTGCTGCCCAGGGAAATCGGCCCGTCAGGGAAAGGAGCTTAGATGTTGGGGAGGTGAGGGATGTCTCCTAAATACAAACTCGGAAAAGTTGTTTTCTAGACACCTGAAGTGAGTGTGGTCACCTCTCGATTCTCAGCAGCAGACGCGAGAGCCTGCAGTGCACTCTGTCTGGCTGGAGCGCGGTGCGCAGCGCAGCGCTGGCGCGTTGCCCCTACACTTGCCGGACTTCCATTGTCACAGGCAGGCGCCTCTGCAGAGCTGTCGCAGCGCTCTGGGCTGCCCTCCCTGGATGTTGAGTCTTCCACCCCAGCTGTCTCCCCACTTCTTCCCTTGCCCCAGTACCTCATGCAACTGTGCGTCCAGCTGCGGACCCCATCTGGCTCAGTTACTACCAGGCTACCGACTGCCCCCTCGCGGAGTGCATGGGGCGCCTGGCTCGCAGACATCCCCAGCAGGTAGCAAGCTGCAAAAGGCGTGGTGGCTGTGGCTGTGGAGTGAGACAGTTGCCAACAGCTGGCGCAGCTGCCGCGCTGCGCACGGGGACTGGAGAGTACGCAGCCCAGGTACTGCCCCTTCCCGGTGACGTCTGTGCAACGGGTTATAAAAGCCTCGTGCGCAGCTTGCGAGGTTCTGCTAACTCCGGAGCAGAGCAAGACCGAGGCCAGAGGCACCTGCGAAATTGCAGGCGGCAGCGGCGGCAGCAAAAGCAAAGGAAACATCTCCAGCTGGACACTGGGCTCCGGAATCCTGGCCATAGGCTCAGAACTTTCAGTTTGCGCTGTGACCAGCCTCCTTTCTCCCCTAAGTCCTCACTCAGAACAGGGCTTTGCCTTTCCTGGCACAGAAGTGGGGGATAGGAATTGCAAGCAGCAGCAGGTGCTGAAAGGCGGGAATCTTTTGCCTGCCAGAACCGTGACCCGTGGAATTTCTTTCCCTCTTCCAATTAAACGCAGGAGAGACGCTGTCTCCAGATTTCTCAACTCAGATGCTTCCTGACACTTGAAAGTAGAGGAAATCAGAGACATGAGGGGCAAGCAGACGGCGCATTAAGGAACGTTCGTTTATCTTCTGAGTGCCAAGTCTCCTGCTTACAAAGAGAGAGTTCTGCCCAGAAAGAGACTTCTACCCTTCCTTCTGGCTTAGACAGGACATTGAGGCCCAGGCACCCAGCCACTGGACCCTGCTGCAAAGGGGTGTGTGTACGGAGAGGAGGGCTCTACTACCCAACTGCGAAATGGATAACGTCCTCCCAGTTGACTCCGACCTCTTCCCAAACATCTCCACTAACACCTCAGAACCCAACCAGTTCGTGCAGCCAGCCTGGCAAATTGTCCTTTGGGCAGCTGCCTACACCATCATCGTGGTGACCTCCGTGGTGGGCAATGTGGTGGTGATGTGGATCATCTTGGCCCACAAGAGAATGAGGACGGTGACCAACTATTTCCTGGTGAACCTGGCCTTCGCGGAGGCCTCCATGGCAGCGTTCAATACCGTGGTGAACTTCACCTACGCTGTCCACAACGAGTGGTACTATGGCCTCTTCTACTGCAAGTTCCACAACTTCTTCCCTATTGCTGCTGTCTTTGCCAGTATCTACTCCATGACAGCTGTGGCCTTTGATAGGTGAGCTTGCCCTTTGGAAAAGGGAGACAGTGTCCATTGGTGACCATGGCATAGCTATGGAGGTTTGGGGCTGGATTATGCATGATCCAATGGACAGGTTGGTCACTCGTGCCCTGCAGTTTTTACTGACTGTCACCTGAGTCCATTATTTATGGGAGGTTTTATGCTTTCTTTCTATTTCATCTTTCTTTTCTCCTCGTTTTCACCCATCGCAGTTTCTCTTCCTTTCAATGCACTCCTCCTTTTTCTATCTTTAGCCTTTCTTCATTCCTTCTCCATTCATCTTCCTGACATTCTTCCCACCTTTTGTTTTGCTCCTTTTATATACATTACTTCTCGCCTGTACCTGAAAGCCTAAAAGAGTTACCAGATTTGGGGCAAAGGACTAGTCCCCAGCCGGGCTTTGTAAATCCTCCAGGTCTGCTATTCTGTTAGACAGCCTCTTGTTGCTTCTGTGTTGTAAGTACACCCAGGCCAAATTCCTCATTTTTCAACTTTTTCCTGAAGATTAAAGGACTGTCTGCTCCCACTTTAACTCTCCGCTATTATTTGGGTGTGAACAGCATTTCCCCAGAATGATAGAATACTCTGAATTCTAAGTCAGCTCCCTCTATGCTATTAGGAGTTCTCCTTCGGGATGAGAGACAGCTACAATTCTTAAGGAATTCCAAAGATAGTGATCCAGGGAGCTTACCCAGAAGGCTTGTGTGTGTTCACAGGAAAATATGCTGGAAAAAGGCAATTGAGAGCTCTTCTTTTCCCGTAACCAACCAGTTAGGGTTTCAGAAGCTGATTGAAACTGAAAAGGTCGGCCTTTTCAAACACTGGGCTTGACATTCTGGAATGAATGGCACTTCAGGTGGCATGATGGAAAATTGATTATTAGAGCACAGTTCTTTGGTATTGACATTCTGGGGGGTGCCCTCGGTGTCTAATGTGTATTCTATGTGTACACAGGTGTTAAATGTTTACCTGCAATGTAGAGATATGTCTAAAAGATCTGCCACTGTGGTTTTAAAATGGATTTTTTTGTGTGTGTGGTCCTTGCTGAGATAAGTGAATCTAAGAAACCCAGAGAAGGAGTTAAGAGAAAACTTCAAAATAAGTCCCCTACATTATGAACCTCTTTTTAACATAAAGATTGTTTAAGACTTGCAATTGTTTTGAGATCCTTTTCAGCTTCTATAGTCAAGGGATGCTATTAAAGAACATTTAGATGCCCATCCTTTGCAGTGGTGTCCAAATACCAATCTGTTAGTTTTGTGAACGTTTCCCTTTATGTAAGTCTTACATGTCTATGTTGTGTGTAAATCAGGCTGTGGCGAATCAATGCATATTTTGAATGTAGAAGGTAAACCAATTACTCCAAGTACTAGTGAAATTAATTATTTTGTAATGTTATCATTTATGTTCCTTTGATATTCAGGAATTCAATTTGTCAAAAGTGAGGTATACCTATAAATCCTTCTGCATTGACTTGCTCATTTAACCTCAGAGCAGCTTGCTTAAACTTAAAACAAGATACTACAGCACAACAGAGGCGAATATTGATGCAGTGGAATCTGAGTGCAGTGAAACACACTCTTTTGATGATCCTTAAATTACAGAGAGAGAGATGGTAATTTTTACTGCATTGGGGCCTTGTATGAGCCCTTGGGAGACCTGTCAATCAGTGTGAGCTGGAGCATTCAGTAGCTGATGAGCAGCAGCAGACAGCTCTCTGCCTTTGGCTTAACACATTCCACAGCCCAGCTCTTTCCCATGGAACTTAGAAGGTTGGGAGCACGAATCAAGGTCTAAGTCCTCAGAATGGACTGGACAAGGAGCCAGATTTGGCTCGACCATTGTTTTTCTCTAGGTAAACCATAGCAAGACCCCCAACCCTCCATGACACCTGCTCAATAAGATCAGAGGGTCTCAAGTGCCAGAACTACAGGAAATGACAGCAATGAGAAATGTCTCTATGTGTCTCCTGTACCAATATGGCCTAGGGAGTTAATAGCATGCTCGAGGTTAAAGTTCAAGGTAGGGTTAGGGATAGGCTTTGGGTCTCTGTTTCCAAGTACTCCTACAAGTGAACCTTTCCTTTTTCCTTACTTAGCCTCATGAGCACAGCATCAGCCCATTCCCTCAGACCCTCGGAGCAATGCACTTCTGCATGTGTGGTCATCCATTGTCTCCCAAGAGCATTTAGAAAAGAAGAGGAGTTTCAAACTCACTCCAGAAGCATTCTCTCCCTTTTCTCCACCATAGAAATATTTACTCAGAGAAAATTTAAATGATCTTTTTGTATGTTTGTCAACATTGAAACAGATCTTGAAAGTAACGCCATGATTTTTCTGTTCAAAAATTAAACCTTGCTCATATCAGAAAACAGGAAATATGAAAACCATAGACACAAAAATACAAATCAACTGTTACCTCACGATCCAAAAATAACACCTGTTAATATTTGAATTTCTTTAACGAATATTGCACTTCATAATGGAGGTCAGATTCTGTATAATTTTTTCCTATTGATATTAATAGAAAATATTAATAACACTTTCTCAGGTTATTAAAATTTATTCAGAAACATAATGTCTTCATATTATTTCAGTACATGACTGTGCTAGTCTTTATTTAGCTATCCCCCTACTGTTAGCCATAGAAGTTATTTCTGGATTTTTTATGCTTTTATGATAAACGCTCTAATGAACATTTCTATATGGTAATTCTGTTTTGCTTTTTTCATTATTTCCTTAGGATAGATTTCAAGAACTGGAATTACTGGGTCAAATGAAATGAAATTTTAGAAAACAATTTTTCCTAATTTAGAGAATTATACATCTATCCAGAACAGGGAACTCATCTATTCTGACTTGTTCATTTCTATCTCTTCAGTACAAAGTAGAGTGCTTAGCACCTAACAGTCACCTACATGCTTATATAAGTGAATGAGTAAATAAAATAGCACATGTTCCTAGAACATTTGGAAAGCATAGAAAATTGTAAAGAAAAGGTAAAAATTGCTTACAGTCTCACCACGGAAAGCTAAACAGTTAGAACCCTGGAAATTCTAGCTTATAATTCTTTTTGCTATCTGTGTTACGCATGCCACCTGCAGCAGTCATACATTTAAGAGTAAATTTAAGATCATAATACAAATGGTCTCAATATCTGATTTTTTGAGTTTTTTGTTGTTGTTTCTCGACATTATAGTAGGGATATTTTTCGTGTCCTAGAATATTTTTTAAATGGGATGTTTAACAAGTTATATTACATGGTTATAATTACTTATGTAACTATTCTGTTTTTAGATATAAATTATTTTAAAATTTTAAATATAAGTAACTTTAAAATGATTATCCAGACATAAATCTTTGAGAACATCTCTGTTTTTTTCCTTAGAATAAATTCCTTGCAGTGGAATTGTTGGGTCAAATTATCTCAGTAAACATTGCCAAATTTCCCTCTAGAATCAAAATGTAATGCAGAGAGAAAAACCTCGGCTTCAGATTGAAGTATTAATTCAAATATTTCTCCTAATTTTTCCACTAATGGGAAATAATAAAGAGAAAAAGACAGATGAAAGGAGAAAGGTTGAAAAGGGAGGGAAACTGGAGGAGAGAGAGAGAAGGGAAGGGAGTGGAGAAAGAGAGAAAGTCCCTTTAGAAAGAATACTTATTTTTGAAAGTAATAGTTTCCTTGAATAAAAAAAATTTCAGAGGCAAACATAGGTAAATAAGATCATATCTACTGTTAGCTAATCTACAACAGAGATTTTTACTTTTGAAACTTCCACTTAAAATTTTAAGATCCTTTCCTATTAAAAAACCCAAAAGTTACATTTGATGTTTCATGAAATTTGAAGAGGGGACATTGAGAGGTGACATCCCCAGTTTGCAGGAGTTGGTGAAGATGATGTGGCCTGTATTATTGAGCAGGATCTAGGCAGGGAGCAGGGTGTCAATTCCTAAGCCCCGCAGGGGGAGATGAAGGAGCAGCCAGTAACCTGACTGGGAGCTACACACAGCCACAGGAGGCTGGGAAGGGCACAGGCTGAGTGCCACTGCTTCTCTACCTGGTAGGGCAGGCTTACTTTCCATGAGATAAAAGATGAAAGTTGCTCTCGACTCACACTTGTTCTGGATGAATTGTGTTGCAGTGAAAGGAAACCTTCAAGTGGAGACAGTCTCTGGGCAGTATGAGATACAGCCAGATCAAAAACACAGTTGCTCCCATAGGGGTAACGGTGGGAGGCAAAAGAGAATAAGCTCTCTGAGAGAGTGGAAGAGGAACCTAGGGCAAAACATACGTGAATAGCAAAAGCCCTGTCTGCTGACCCCTGGCGTCCACCTCACTCTGTCCCAGTCATACCCAGCCACCAATTTAAATAGCCCACTCCCAGAGTCACTGCTGGATCTGCAATCTGTCCTTGAACCTTACCTTGTTGGCTGGACTGAATCCCATTGTCTGCCTCAGAACAGTCCTTTCCCACCTCACCCAAGCTGGGACTTTGCACTAACCAAAACCAAACACCACTGTGGTGCTGAGAACGGCCTGCCACTCGAAGTTCCTCCACCACAGCTGGTCTGTCTTCAAATAAGGACCCTCGTTGTCACTGTTGATGTGCATCAAACCTGAGTTTGCTACATCGTGAATAAATCACTTATGCTTGCGGGACCTTCCCTAGAGAGGCTTAACACCATTACACTTGCCATATTTTCTTCTACTCCTGGGAGCCCCCAATATCCATAATGATCAAGGCTGTTGTTGTTGTTGTAGTTGTTGTTTTAAACTAGCAGAAATATAGGTTAAATTGGGGGAAAATAAAAGAGTAATTATTAATGTAAAAGCACAGAGTAGGAACACAAACTTTTGTTACTATTGTTGAATTAGCAAATGGTAGAATGAGGATCATGAGAGAGAAATATTCACTGTTAAACTTAGACAAAGATGTCCAATTAATCGAGTTCTAATGCATCAAGGTAAGGTGGTATTTCCTAAGTCAGGGCCTC